GCAATTTTTACATCTGCCGTGCTGTCACTTCTTGTTTTCCGATATTTCAAATTTTACAATACTCATGTTACCTTAATCACTTAAATGCAGTGACAGAGGTCTTGACCTGGTCTTGTTATTGTTAGTGTTAGATATTAATAAACAAACGAAAATAGATAACTTTTACAGAAAAAATACTACAAATACAACATCAGAAATTTGGCACAAGATCTCTGAAATTCCTCACAGTTGATCACAAAATATAATCAAACAAAAACTACCTCATAGTATGTTTTGTATGAGTGTTGATCGGATCATACTAAAAAAAAGAATAAATTTAAACTGTTAAAAGTGGAGGATAATATGTCATTTGAAGATACAAGTTAAGCAAGGTCACTTGAGTTTAAAATTTACAGTTTAATTAAACGAACTCCTTTGAACCGGTGATTAAAACTGTTGACAAATGTGGGTTATCAAATTTTTTGATTTTTTTCTCTTCTTAATTAGATATAGGAAGATGTGGTATGAGTGCCAATGAGACAACTCTCCATCCAAGTTACAATTAATAAAAGTAAACCATTATAGGTCAAGTACGGCCTCAACACGGAGCATTGGCTCACACCGAACAGCAAGCTATAAAGGGCCGCAAAAAATTACTAGTGTAAAACCATTCAAACGGAAAATTCAACGGTCTAATCTATATAAAAACGAGAAACGAGAAACACGTATGAACTACATAAACAGACGACAACTACTGTAATCAGATTCCTGACTTAGGACAGGTGCAAACATTTGCAGCGGGATTAAACGTTTTAATGGTACCAAACCTTCTCCCTTTTCTGAAACAATAGTATAACATCACAACATAGAAAAACACACTATAAAATATCAATTGGAAGGTTTAACTCAATCAAAAAACGTAAATTAACACACAATGAACGAATAAATTTGACCCGTGACACCTGAATGCAAATACACAGTTAATAAAAAATTACAAGGGATAAATAATTAAAGTCAAAAGTAAATAAACAGGTAAATAAACATGTTAAAACGTTGTAAAAAATCAACATATTATTATTTTCAGGATATTTTTAATACAGTATTAAAACTTCACCCCTATCTGTTGTATCAGTTACCCTGTCAAATGAATGTACAACTAAGTGATAACACTCGTAGTGAACAATGTTACAGTGAAATCTCTTGATCTCAAGGTAAGGCACAGTTAAATGATACTTGCATTAGTGACATTTAATGGTTGGGTAACTATGATTGAATGGCATTGGAACTGTTATATATCTTCTTTTCTGAACTTTTCATCATAAGACAGCTTATGAATAAAGAATTACAAAAATACTACATTACATAAAACTGTGCAAAAAGTTACTATTCTTGGGTTTGATTAAATCGTATAAACTACCATTATAGTTTATAGTAATGCTTTTTCTGTTTTATAATACAGATCTTGCACAGTTGATGACCATTTTGACTCCATTACTACAGTCCCAGTATAAACCAATAAATACTTTCAAAGGTTTCAACTGGCTTGCGTAATCTGTTTATTAATTTTTCTATTTTAGTTCTGACGTCATGGAGCTTTCTTAGATTTTTATCATATGCTAAATTATTTTGTTGACCACGAATGGTATATATGAATTTTTTCTTGTATGGTCCATGTTGATAAATACACAAAATACTCGAGATCTGATTTTTATACTCAGATTTTTCTAAATTCAGAAATGCATGTGGTTAACATCTACATTAATGTAGGCCACTTGGTAATTTTCTTATTTCTACAATTCTGTGCAAAAATTGGGAAGTTTAGGTGAAGAAATAGGTAGAATGTGAACACAATTATTAAAAATATTAAAAAATAGTAAAAATCACTCTTGTTTTCTTTTAGATAATCCACTTGAATTCACCAAAGAAATTAAACGTAAAAATAAAGCATTTGGAATTTTTACACAATTTGTATCTGACATTCCTGGAGTATGATGCCAATCTGTTGAGACGTGAATTGTTTGGATGTGATAACACTCAAGAAAACCCTATTGAACAGCAGGTAAATTTGATAAATCGATGTATGAAGTTTCTGATGATCAACATTTCTATAGAAAGGGATTAATCAAGTAAAACTAAATGTATCAGGGAATGAAATCACAAATGCTTTCTGACACCACCACAAAATTATTCATTTTAGTGAGAAATTGTAAATGATTAATGTCATATATACGATCTGCTTTATATTATTTTGATGTATTACATTTAAACATTTATTATTTTACAGTTGAGTGCTTTGAATGAAGATGATGAATGTTATGATTTTCGAAGAGAACGTATCCTTGTACACCGTACACACTTGTATTACCTGGACTATGATTAACAACCAACAGAATGGGATGTGACATTAGTGGCACAACTAAGTATGGATAGACTTCAGATGCTAGAAACAATCTGTAGACATTGGGAAGGCCCTATCAGTCTAGCTCTTCACATGTCTGATGCAGAGGCTCAACAATTCTTACGATATGCTCAGGAATCAGAAGTATTCATGCAGAGGAAAAATATAGGATATTATGTAGTTTATAGAGATGGGGTAAGATAATATGATGCCCCCTCAACTTGTGACCTTTGACCAACAGTAATCAGTTGGCCTGTCTGTTATCAATCAACACTTTACATGTTCCACAACAACTCAAATTTGCTTTGTACTTTTTTTTGCTTTTGTAGATTTCAATAACTCTGTACACTATGTTTGGAGTGGAAAATGAAGCTCACTTTTGATTTGGACTGTTTTTGAATTGTGTTGTTTCAGACTCATGGGACTAAACGGTAAAACATTAGAAAAATCTTTCTATTTCTTAGAATAATGTAAGTTTTCATTATTGAATTTTAAAACTTTTATTAAACCACCCCCACCCCCAAACAATATTTTGATGAATATAAAGGAATCACCCTGTCCTGTCTGTCCATCTGTCTATCTGGTAAGTGCTACTCATCCAAACAGGCTTGATGGATATTGATGAAACTGTACACAGATGTAGAATACTACCTTTATAGGAGAAATATAATCCTTGTCTTACATGTTAAAGGGAAGATAATCGAATTTACTTACTTCTATGTTGCAATAAATTTATATAGTCTCTAGTAAGCACAACTCCTCCTTAAGTAGACAAGTAGACAGATATTTGTAAAACACATTTGTATAACACTACTGTATATTAACCAGATCTTTACTTGTTGTACACACATACTTCTCTTGTTGTACACACATACTTCTCTTGTTGTACACACATACTTCTCTTGTTGTACACATATACTTCTCTTGGAAATTGGAAGTAGTAAACCTTTTTATAGAAATGCAAAACATTCAGTTTCATAATTTGTCAATAGACATTTCTTTGTTGCCAGGTTATGAAGAGCCTCAAACTTGCATATTAGCATCAAAATTCAGTTATGAAAAAAATTCTTATTCTCCGTATCAATGGTTAAATCATATGATAGTATTTCTAACCAACAACAACAAAACCAAAAACAATTGTCTAGAGGTCAGTGTGCTGTCTTCAAGTATCTTTATTAAGGAACAAGCTTAAAATCCTTCAGACCACAGACAACTCATAAATATATTTAACAGACACTCCTCCAGGATTGCCATTCACAAAAAATTCTTAATTGGTCAAAATCATTTAAATATATCCATGGAGATGTTCCTGACTATTGACGAGCAAACATATTTGGTTGATTAAATCAGTTTATGCAGTTCACAACTCTTCCCTGTGTTAAATAATTCATATGTAATTTTAATATTTTATTTTTGTCACAGCAATATTATCCAGTCAACTATTTACGTAATGTAGCTTTAAAACAAGTCAATACACCATATGTGTTCCTGTCTGATGTAGATTTCCTACCCATGCATGGATTGTATGAATATTTAAAGAAGGCTTAACCATTGATGGATATAGAAAACAGTAAAAAAGTTTTCATACTGCACTAAAAAGCTTCACATTTTATAGGGAAGAAGACCTGGATGCTTCATACTTTATATATAGATGCCTTATGTTATGAAGTTTCCGTCTGTCATATGTCCATTGCCCGTGACCTCATTTTCATGGTTCAGTGACTACTTGAGATTTTTTTGTAATGTTAATTTCTCTCTTATTATGAGTAATAAGATACCTAACTGTATTTGGTATGTGCATATCTAGCAAAATCCTCATGACTATCAGACAGTTTTCACCTGACCTCGACCTCATTTCTTGGATCAATGAACAAGGTTAAGTTTACGTGGTCAAGTCCATATCTCAGATACTATAAGCAATAGGTCTACTATATTTGTTGTATGGAGTGATTGTAAGGTGTACATGTCCAACTGGCAGGTGTCATCTGACCTTGACCTTATTTTCATGGTCCAGTGGTTAAAGTTAAGTTTTTATGTTTGTGTATGTTTTTCTAATACTGTGCAATAGGTCAACTATATTTTGTGTATGGAAATATTTTACGATGAGCATGTCAGTCTGGCACTTAATATTAGAGCATGACCTCATTTTCAAGGTTCATTGCTCAATGTTAAGTTTTTGTGTTTTGTCTGTTTTTCTTAAACTAAAAGCAATAGGTCAACTTTATTGGTGTATGGAATGGTTATAAGGTATATATGTCTGTCTGGCAGGTATCATCTGACCTTGACCTCATTTTCATGGTTCAGTGGTTAAAGATAAGTTTTTGTGCTTTGGTCTGTTTTTCTAATACTGTATGGAATAGGTCAACTATATTTGGTGTATGAAAATATTTTAAGATGAATATGTCAGCCTGGCAGGCTTTATTTGATCTGGAAATCATTTTCACATTTAATTGCTCGATGTTAAGTTTTGTGTTTTGGTCTGTTTTTCTTTAACCATAAGCAATAGGTCAACTATATTTGTTGTATCTAATGATTATGAGGTGTATAAATAACTAGTGTAAAACAATTTAAAAAAAGAAAACCAACGGTCTAATTTATATAAAAAATGAGAAACGAGAAACACTTATGAACCACACCAATTTCTGTCTTGTTGTTTCAGATACTTTGCTGCTGTTTTGATACCACCACTTGAAGGGTGTAGTATATCCATCATTCGTCCGTTATCACCACATCGAAGAAGCAAAATGATCAAACGACATAATGCATATCCGAAGCCAAAAGGACCGTCTTTTCCAACATCTCTCTGGAAATGACATATGGATTTCTTAAAACTGTTTTTGGCTTTGCTGTGTAACAGTTTACATGCCCTTGCTGAATTTCTCTGTTGAAAATTGATGCATCCAATTTGAATTGCAGAATATCTAGCATCATTTAGATACAACCAGCCAGCTGCATGACCAGTGCAGCTTAAAGGATCTGATTTTACAATAATTTTAGCATCATCAATTGTTGTTTGGAATTTTTCAAACTGTCTCCTACTTTAAAAACATTCTAGATTTGGCAGATTATAATTCTGTTGTAAAGTACTGAGGATTAGAAGTCCTTGGAACGATTTCGAGTGCGTTAGTTATCAGTTTCTTTGCCTTATCAGAATCTGTTCTAAAAAGCTCTCTACTAGCTTGTAAATACATGATCAAACAGTTAAGATCATAGTCGTCGGTATATTTATGCTTTAACCCATTGCAATAACACTGAAAAATATCAAATTTGCCCTCGTTAATTAATGTACTTAAATAGTTGAAAGCCACAAGTAAATGTTGGTGTTGTTCTAAAGGGGGCCGTGTTGACAGATCTCAAAAAATGAATAGTTTTCTCGATTTTGAATTCCCCATGCAAGTCGACTGAAAACACGATCTTATATCTGTCATTATACTAGATGTGGAATGTGTGTCTGAAAATGGTACAGGTGAAAGCGATGAAGACTTTTTGGACGGTCTCCGTCTGTTTCGTGAATGCCTTGGTCGGAAAGTTTGCACAGTCGAAAGTTTAGGATGACTTGACACTAACTGACGGCAATTTCTTTTATCTAACACTGAAGTCTTGAAGAACGTTATATCATCCGCCATGTAACATTTGCAGTCATCAGATGATATTTGCCCTACACATATTTTGCAAGGAAGATCGTTCATATATTTTTGATGACGATCATAAATACATGTATGCTTGGAGCTCTCTGCACATTCTAAATGCAGTTTATTGGTTTGGAATTTACCTTCTCCTACTGTTTGGTTAATGATTGTTTTAATGAAATCATATTTTGAGTTGAAGGCTTCATTCAACACTGGAATGACAATATCTTGATGGCATAGCGAAAGCAGGTATAATAGTTTAGAACATCTAGACCTTCTTGTTCTACATTCCCAGACAGTTTCGTACTCGTCTTCAGAGATAACTCGCTCCTGATACAGAATAACTAAAATATCATTTGGTTCAACATTTTCCAAAACCAAGGTTCTAATCCCATGCATAGGTATTGAACTATTGGATGAGTTCTGAATTTCTTGGAAGATTTTTTGCTTCGGATACAATTTAGTATACCTGCATTGACCAGAGGAAATTTTCTCATTCAAAAACTTATACTTTTCTAGGTTAAGAGCTCGTGTAAAAGAGCTATAAGCTTTTGGACCACGTCGTGTAATTGTATCGATCAGTAATCTTGACCGTTCTTTCCTCGTTTTACCACTAAAAATTAGTTCACAATCCGTATTCGTCAGTATTTCATCTTCATGAAGGTAGTCTAAAATATCACCAGCTTCAAGATTGTTGATTATGTCAGTTCTGTATATTCTCAAACGCTCCCTATCTTGTTTTTCCATTCCCGTTTACATAAATACCTACAGAAGTGAGACATTTACAGTTAGTACCTTTCATATATTTTTCGCATAGTTTAAATGATACGAATGGAAATTGTAGCATAATGAAATTAAAGTCCAAATAACTGCATGAACTTATGAAAATGGAGCAATTTTGACATTTTTCATATTTCTATTTTTCTGTATTTAAGTGTCAGAAATATATTTAGTTCATTTTGACGAACTATGAATGCCTTATACAGAAATAAGATTAGATACAAAACACTACATAGAAAACTAAATACTGAACAGATCGATTACCGGTGTAAAGCACGAGCATAAACCAGAGGTAAAACAGATATTTTAGTAGCTCCTGTTTCAAGAGTGACTCTCGTCGTGTTGCTCGATGCGGAAAAATATTCGGTAACAAGTATTTTAAGATGCTACATAAAAAAGACCGGGAATATGGCTACGACCAGAGGAACGTACCTGTCGTCATCAGTGATACATATATTTCATAAGATTAACCAAATTTTGATGAGCCCTTTAAATTTACGAACAGATGACTTCATGTTACGATCACTAAAAATTATTTTTAAAGATTAAAAGCAATTTGTGAATTCGAATTCGAAGACCTTACAACTGAACATATACCTACTGTAAACAATTCAACTGTAATGTAGATAATACAAATTAAATATATCCATGGTCATCTAGACCAGGACAGTAAACCAAACCATAAAGTTGTCCGTAAATAAGAGGCAACATTAATTGTATACCGGTATTCAAATCTCGTTGATATTCTGAATATACACATCAAGTAAAACAAATGAGTGAAATGCGTAAAATCAAAACGGAGCGAGACCAGGTGCGTCGATAGGGCAATGCATCACAAATCATTCAAATCTAGACTCAGCCAAACTGTCACGATAGCAAAGAGGACACACTCGGTAAATTTACTGATCAGATGACTTTTCTGGTATTTTAAGATCTAAGACTTCGAAAAGATGTGAGTTGAGACACAGACAAATCGTATAAAGCCAATTCGTGATGATGACCATGCCATTTGTGTATATTTCAATCGATCTTCCTGATAACCATGCTGGAGGAGATTTTGCATTATGAGCACATCCTTGATGATGGAGTTCGTATAATATGAACATGTACGCACGTAAGGTATTGATTGAGATATTTAAACGAAATATAATTGGACAGCAGTTATGTTACAACTGAGAAATGGAAAGTTGACATTTTGGGAAAATGCAATTGTACCGTTAAGTTCTGCTTCATATGACTACAACAAGTCGACCAATGGGATACATAATTACCACCCTTTGGAATAACTACTTTTGAAGAATTGATTTCAATTAACTTTTAAAATCACCAATTTATCGATATCTTCTTTGAGCGCAGGATTCCTCTAGCAATGCAATCACGATACAAAACGTAAGCTGACGTATCAACTTGGAAATAAATTCTCCATTTGCGGGTGTTGCTGTGTTTTTATACGTAAAAGCGAAAGTTCGCAATTACACACTGAATATCTTATTATTTATTCTAACCTTTCTTTGAATCAAATCAATATAGCAATATACAAGCACTACCCCTTTTTCATTCTTATATACAAGTACAACCCATTTTAATGTCAAATAAAATAAAGTAGTAAAATTACATTTTTCATTAGTTTGTCGTACCACTTCACTTATTTTCCCTGAGTTTAATGTACAAAAAGTAATGATAATAGTATTATAAATAAGGACGTAAACGTTTATCTGTCTTTTTTATGAATGACACCTGCAAAGTACAAAGATGTCTTGTACACACGTGGAAGAAAACATGTAGAAATCCGTCGGAATAAAGTGTTACAGTATCCTGCTTTCAGTTTAACTTGAGTTGTCTCTTTCCTTTTTCTAATCGTTTTACGAGATTTGAATATCGATCTACAACTGTCACCTTACTTTGATATTTCACCTTTAGGTCAGGGTCAATTACTTTTTATTTTTCCAACATTTGACACAACTCTCGCAATTAGACTATATGCTTCAATGAGACTTATCGTGGTTTATCTACCATCAATTGGTATACTCATGACGTCTTATATAAAAATAAGGATATGTGGTATGATTGGCTCTGGTGGATAGTTGTCTCCTTGCCAATCATACCACATCTCCTTATTTTTATATAAGACGTCATGAGTATACCAAATGATGGTAGATAAACCACGATAAGTCTCATTGAAGCATATAGTCTAATTTCGAGAGTTGTGTCAAATGTTGGAAAAATAAAGTTTCGAAAATATTTTGGTATACCAACACCATAGTGGAACTGAACACCATCAACATAGTTATTGCGATCCTAAGTGAAATTATGTTAGGTCTTTCGATTATGAATAAACGTTCCCAATCTGTGAACGTGTAAACTACCAACTACGACAATTATCATCGTAAAATTAAATTCTGTCTAAATAAACTATAGAATTTAAAATATCCGGCGCTTCAGCTGACTCAAAATCACTCACTAGACACAATATCAAGCAGACAGGTGCAAATTACGGCAAATAACGGCTATATAAATATCCGATGTCAAATAACATATTGATGTTATATAATTGTCAACAGAATACGGTCCTTTTCTTCTCGAAACCACAATGTAAACGTACTATTTAAACACAAATTACACAGATTGTAATAATAAATACAATTTCAGTTCCAAATTTGTCCTGCCACTTTCTATCTGCACTCAGGAAGCGCCTTCTGAGATCAGATTACATGATCAGGAGAAGGAACTAGGTATTAGCATTTCTCCAATCTAAAGTCAAAGAGTTATTCCGCTTTCTATAGTATCGCCAAGTTTGCCAAAAAATCATTTTAATAAAAATTAGCATTGAGCGCAGGATTCCTCTAGCATGGCAATCACGATACAAAACGTAAGCTGACGTATCAACTTTAAGATAAATTCTCCATTTGCGGGTGTTGCTGGGTTTTTATACGTAAAAGCGAAAGTTCGCAATTACACACTGAATATCTTATTATTTATTCTAACCTTTCTTTGAATAAAATCAATATAGCAATATACAAGCACTACCCCTTTTTCATTCTTATATACAAGTACAACCCATTTTAATGTCAAATAAAATAAAGTAGTAAAATTACATTTTTCATTAGTTTGTCGTACCACTTCACTTATTTTCCCTGAGTTTAATGTACAAAAAGTAATGATAACAATATTATAAATAAGGAGGTAAACGTTTATCTGTCTGTTTTATGAATGACACCTGCAAAGTACAAACATGTCTTGTACACACGTGGAAGAAAACATGTAGAAATCCGTTGAAATAAAGTGTTACAGTATCCTGCTTTTAGTTTAACTTGATTTGTCTCTTTCCTCTTTCTAATGGTTTTACGAGATTTGAATATCGATCTACAACTATCACCTTAATTTGATATTTCACCTTTAGGTCAGGGTCAATTACTTTTTATTTTTCCAACATTTGACACAACTCTCGCAATTAACATCACGGTACCCAAATTGCACCGAGTACCCAAATTGCACCTATTTAGCAAAAATAGCAGCGGAAATCTTACAAGTTTTCCTATAGATTAAACAGTTTGTATTTTTGAGATTTGACACTATGCACGTCTTTTAACATAGATAAATATATTTGAATATACACAACACATTCACAGTATATATCAACAGATGAAGTGATCACTGGAAAAAGTAAAATGTACGGAAACGTCGCCATGCGACGTCCACAAAAAGTCATCTTTTAAAAATTAGCAAACAAAATATGTTACAAGCATTCATTTAATAAAAAATGAACAGTAAGTATGGACTAATGTCAAATTTTTCTAAATATTTGAAGAAATAAAACAAAAGATCTGTTATTCGACTTTTAAGGATGTGAATTTAAGCATGGATGCAATTTGGGTACTCCTCATTACAGAATCATGGACCGTTTGAAGGTTCGTTCAAACCCATTTTTCTATGATTCATTATGGATTCAAAATTGAATTGGTGGAGCCATATAGTAAATAATGATACATCTACAAAATAAACACAGAATGGAAACTTTTGTCTGGTTCATGAAAAAACGTAGGTGAAAAAACTGTCAAAATAGGTGCAATTTGGGTACCCTCACGTTAGACTATATGCTTCAATGAGACTTATCGTGGTTTATCTACCATCATTTGGTATACTCATGACGTCTTATATAAAAATAAGGAGATGTGGTATGATTGGCAAGGAGACAACTATCCACCAAATTTCCTATGAAGTGGATATAAACAATTATAAGCGACCGTACGGCTTCAACAATATGAAGAACCCATACCGTATAGTCGGCTATAAAAGGCCCCGGCATGTAAAATGTGAAACAATTTAAACGGTCTAATTTATAACAAAATAATTTATGAAAAACAAATATGGCAGGCACGAACCAACGAAAACCCCCGAACCACAGGCTCCTGATTGTATTAACATATGAACGTCTGTACATTTTGTAATCCATCAGTCATGATAATCCGTTGTGCATTTCAAGGTTTGATTTTAAAAATATACAGCATACGTTGTAATTATGAAGATTAAATTTGGCCGGAAAATTTGTGATCTAACCCAGCAGGCACTCAACGTTGATTCAACGTTGTTCAGCGTATATTCAATGTAGAAACAACGTTATATTTTCAACGTTGGGTAATTAACATTTATTCAACGTTGAATTAACGTTGACCATTTCAACTTTAAAATTGGAACGTTGATTCAACATTGAATAAACGTTGATTTTAAATAAGTATTTATTGTAGATCTTTATAAAAAAAAGAATCATCCAATCAAGGTAGTACATGCGGATGGAGAGTTATCTCATTGGCACTCATACCACATCTTCCTATATCTATATAACGACAGCAGTATATATTTATTAAGAAAAGAATAATATAAGTTTTCGATTTCCACAGATATCTTATGTACACAAAAGATCTTATTATTTTCTGTGAAATAATCGGCACTGAAAGATATAGGCTGATCCAGGGTTGATTATATAGGGAATCAATGAAGCATGACTTAAGCCCCCCCCCCTTTTTAGGTCAGTCAGAGCCGCCCCCTCCCCCCTTACTAAAAGTTCTGGATCCGCCACTGAAAGATAATATTTAGAATTACTGCAATTGATTATGGGTGTTTTTTTACCTGTTGCTTACAACTAAGAACACTTTTCTTTACATCGAAATGGTCCTTCGAGACATCCACTATTAATCTTTGTGTGTGTGCATGTGGGGGGGGGGGGGGGGGGGGGGGGGGGTTTAAAATGTTAGATACAGAATTTCTTTGAAGAAAAAAAAAAGAAAAACCACAGTATATCATATCTCACATGATATTTATGAATAATTTCACATAATGATAACATGTACAGAAATTTGAAATAATGTGATTATTTACAAAAATCTCGAATTTTTCATATTCATATTTTCGCGGGGTTTTAACAGTCAGGAAGTTAAGATTACA